TGCCCCGGGCTCGCAGTTGGTGATATTTGGTATTTGCTGAGCGTGACAGAGCAGGAGATGCTGAGGCAGCCTCGCATGGCCCCCCCCGACGTCATACTCACGTGCACACTCCTCACACTCATGCATGTGCATGTGGGCGCCACACACACTTGTGCAATCACATGCACACACACCATGCACACTAGTGATCACATGTGCGTATGAGTGTTTGCCTCTTTGACCATAAGGAAAGCCAAGGCCTGGACAGCTGCGTCTTGTTTGTTGTCTTGGACACTCTCTAGCTGTGCAATTTCTAGGGAGTCTCAGCCCCTTGACTGGAGAACAGGAATAAAGAGGGTCCCAGCCTCCCAGGCTTGAGGGTAGTCATGCATAGAGAGGATTGGCTGAGGGGCCCAGGGCGGGCAGCAGCCACGGTCGTTGGCACCCACACCAACCCTTGCTGCGCATGGGTGGACAGGGCTGTGGCGTGCCAGGTCCCCACCCTTTACCTGCAAACCCTACTCCAGGGTGCTCCCAGCACAATTCCAACCCCTCCCTTCCTCCCCTGCCACCTCCCCTTCCCCACAAAGCCCCTGCCCATCTGCACCCCAGAGACTCAGGTCAGCTCTGGCTGGCACAGCTCTGTGTCACTAGAGGCTGAGATTCCCTCCCGGCCTCAGTCTTCCTGAGTTTTCTTGGTGACGGTGAGTGTTCTGACGATGAGTGTTGAAAGGGATGTTGGAGCAGACCCACCCTTTGCTCCCATGGGTCCTGCAGACACGGCTCTTCGTCTCTGTCTAGCAGACAGTGGTGGCTGGGAACGAGGCTGGTGTGTGCACCTCACTGAGGCTTTCTGCACACCTCTGACAGCAGCAGCTGTGCTGAGTGGGGGTGGGCAGGGAAAAAAGCCAGCCTGGGAGCAAGCAGGGCGTGTGCAAGGTCACCATGGGTGGGCAAGGGGACCACACCCACATGCCCCACCCAGCTCAGGGTGGCTTCCTGGAGGGAGGTCCTTTTTACATGTGGCCCCCACACTGAGCTGTCAGGATGTTTGCTAAAGGACATGTCGAAGGCATGCAGTAGAGGGGACAGGGCAGGGCAAGGACATGATCGATGGGTCTGACCAGCCCAGCACATTCCCCCAGGTGGACACATTCACCAGACCCCATGCCAGGCGCTGAGAGCAGATGTGAAGGACAGAAACGAGATCCTGCTTCATTGTGTGAGGCAGGCAGCGCAGGTCTCATCACCCTGCCTTACTGAAGAGTCCACTGATGCTCAGCAGGTGGCATGGGGCATGACCTGGAGCTCTTTCCCATGCTCTGGGCAGGGTGCCCACCCTGATATGTGACTTCCATGGGAGCTGAGGGATGAGGCAGCCCAGGGACCTCCCAGACTGAGGAGCCAAGACCCCTCTATGCCCATCTCCCTTGGGCATAGCATGGAACTCGTCTCCTCAGTCCAAACACATGCCATGTGTGTCCATCAAGGAGGACCCTGCCAGT